GTTCAATCTCTCAATCGGCTCTCGCTTCTGTGACATAGTCCGGGTCCCACCTTCTTCCAGGAAGCCTTCCTTGCCTGCTCTGTTGCTCGGTGATTTCTCCATCTTCCACAGCCACATAGTCCAGTCATGGCTGGACTGCTAACAATTCAGTGTACTTGATATTTTATATCCTCCGCATGTGTCACACTGGGCTGGACACAGAGTAGTTGGCTGATATATAACCAGTGACTGGCATTGATCATAAAAGTGAGGAAACGTTGATTGCACTAGACATGTAAAAAAGGAAACATGTTTTTATGAGATGCAGAAAGAAATCAAGCGACAGAGAACACCATAAATAGCATTTAATACCGTTTTAACTTCTATCTTTAAAAGAACGTAGTCACAAAAAAAAAAAAAAAAAAAAAGAACTTAGTCACAATAAATAAACTCCTGGCCTGGGAGGATTAAAAAAGAAATCTGGCTAAATTAGGGAAGAATCTAATGAAAAGAATCCTTAAATAAGTTAAAATATATTCAAATGCAAAGGCGTTGGCACTTAAAAACTAGGCAAAGTCTTTAAAGCGCCGTAAGCTTTCAATTAAAAAAATTCATAGACAATGTACCAAATGTAGATGATTAGAAGGAAAGGACACATTTAAGATAGTTAAAGTAGAGAGACTGACACTGGTCAGTTTAAATTCCAGTCTTGAAAAACTGGAACATCCTGCCAGGTACAAATTTACAAAAATTGTGACTACTCCAGAGTAAAGGATGACTAACATAGCCTTTGAAGAAAAAAAAAGTCTGAAACTAATCTTGTTTTATTAAAGGATCTAGTTATGAGCTTTATATTCTAGAGAAAACAGCAACAAGTATCCAATGTGATAAGCATTCCTGGAGCACTGACTATGAGCTGGCTCTAGAGAGGCCATGTGACCAAAGCTGGGTCCTCCTCTGGACTGTGCCAGCATGCACTTGACTCTCACTGTCCTCGGGAAGGGAGACAGTGGTGAGGCTTATAGTTGAGGTAGTAATCACCATGGGGTAAGGGGTGGGAAGAGAATCTGTCTAAAACCTTCCAGAAGCCTCGGGGTGCCTGAGTGGCTCAGTCAGTTAAGCGTCCAACTCTGGATTTCAGCTCGGGTTGTGAGATAGAGCCCCACGTCGGGCTCTGGACTGGGGGTGGAGCCGGATTAAGATTCTCTCTCCCCCTCTCCCTCTTTCTAAAATATTAAAAACAAACAAACAAAACAGCTTCCAGAAGCCTTATTAGATGGGCAGAGCCTTGAAAGACAAGTGGGATTTTGACAGGCAGGTGCAACATGAGGATTCTGACTGGGAGGGGAGGGAGAAAGTGAGGGGATTCCAGACAGAGGGAATGGTATTGGGCAGCCAGAACAGAGAAGAGTATGTCAAACTGTGCAGAGTTGTGAACACAAAGCAAAGGAATATGGACACTTTTCTATGAGCAGTGTTAGCCTGGAACATTCCTAGAGGAAATATCCCATCCCACTCACTCCAGAGGGTCAGAAGTTTTCTTATAATTTAAATACATAATATAAATCCTCCAGAATGGAGAGTAGAATGCACAAATCAAGAATCACTTTTATTTATTATTTATTTATTATTTATTTATTATTAGAGAGCAGTTGTGCACTCCTCAGTATGGGGATTGATTCCTCCTTATAAAACATCTCTTAAGACTTACTGTGTGTCCCTTATAGTCAGGGGAGGCTCTGAAGGAAAAGCCTGATGATAATGGGCTGTTGGCCATTTATGGGAGTCCTCCATTTTCTCTCAAACAATTCTCACTTCCTATGTGGACAATCCATACAGTAGGGACTGAGATTTGGGACTGGATTTAAGATTGGGATGGGACATAGTTTAAGTCAACTATCTGGCAATGCTTAGAAACAATGCCCCTCAAGAGTGACTCTGTGTTTCCTCATAAGATGGGGTTAGAATCCCAGGTCACCATGTCATTCTGCTCTACAGAAACCTCCACTAGCTTATTTTTTATTTGTACATTGCACTTTCCAAGCATTCTCCATTCCGGATTTATAGTGTGCTGAGATGTTAAAATTATAGGAAAATGTCTGACTCACTAGATTAGGTGGTACGGGGTATCTTCCCTAGAAAGTTCTGAAGAGAAGCCACTGCATTCTTTGGTGGCTTTAGGTTCAGTTCCATCTGGTGAGATGGACAGGAAATAGCTTATCTAGGTGAACTTGAATGTTCAGGTGAAGAAGGCATGTGCTCTGTATGGGGCGAATTAGGCTTCACTTAGTAGGTGTACAACTTTGGCATATTAACTGGTCCCTCTGAGCCTCTCTCCTCATCCATCAAATGAGCAAATCTCTAACCTCTGGGTTGGAAATAAAGAGTGTGTACAGTATCCAGAGCCTAAAAGGAATCAAGAACAGGACGGTATACTGGAAAGAATATGATTTTTGGAATTTGACAGATCTGGGCTTGATTCCTACTCTCCCAGTTACCACATGGGTGACCTCAGGCAATTTACTAAACTCCCTGAGTCTAGGTTTTCTTATCTTTAAGATGGGATAATACCTACCTTGCAAGGCTGTTGAGTGCTTTACATGATATAATGAATATATATAGAATACTTGGCACATAGCAGATATCCATAAATGAGACCTATGATTACTCACTTTCTCTTAGAAGCAATTAAAACAAACAAACAAACCTGAGTCTATATAATTTCTTTTTCCAACCTGACTTCCAGCCAAGAAAAATACCCATAGATTAAAAGTAGCCAAATTCTTTCAATTAAGCTTCCAATTTAGTTCTGCCCATATTTCTATTTGAGGCAAATTCAGGAGTCCTCTGGAACTCTTCACTCTGAATTCTACAATCTTCTTCCTTCAAACAAAAAAAATCTGGAGGATCTAAGGTCAAATGGGGTTTTGTAGCAAAAGCTGACCACGGACCAGAGAACAGCTGAAGACAGAGGAAGCCTGGTGAAAACGTGGCCAGACCGTTTCCTTTTGTGCTTAGATACTGCACTTCTCCCTCCATTCGCATAGGTGGTTCCTGTAAGTTAAAGGCTTTTTCTTTCTTTTTTTTTTTTTTAAAGATTTTATTTATTTGACTAAGAGAGAGAGAGAGAGAGGGGGAACACAAGCAAGGGGACTGGGAGAGGAACACGCAGACTCCCCGGTGAGCAGGGAGCCCGATGCGGGGCTCGATCCCAGGACCCTGGGATCATGACCCGAGCCGAAGGCAGACGCTGAACGACTGAGCCACCCAGGCGCCCAAGGCTTTTTCTTTTTTTGCTAAACATTTATTTGTAAGCGGTTTTGCTCTTTGAAAAAAAAAAAAAGACCAGAAATACAATCAGTCTTCATATATTTAAAGATTACTATTTGGTCTATGAATTTCCATGTTTTTGTTTAGTGGTTACCGTTCTGGGGCCTTGGTCATTATTTCTTCTGTGAGAATGGGTGGGGGATGCAGTAGGGGAAGGGGAATGGATTCATGTTCTTCCTTGACAGCAATTCTCATCAGAAATGTCGTTTGAGAGGAAGGTATAATTGCTGTCGGAAACGATGTTTTTCAATGGCCCTACTCTCCTATCTCACGAACCCAAATGAAAGAGAAAAACTGTGTAAGCCGAGGTGATCCTGTGGAGGCAAGCCCTTGAGCTGACTGAGCAGCTTGGCCTGTACATTCAAATGTGAAGGAGTAAGAGCATTTTCAGGCAAAGGCCGGATCCAAAGGCTGGATCCGAGTGACCTGAGAAAAGCAAATTCACATTCAATAATTGAGACTTTATTCTTGGAAGCTCCAAAGCTTTTCTCCTTTTTACTGATTTTGATTGACATCCTTCTAGGGTAGACTTCACATTTACTTCTCTCAGATCTCTTTCTAAATGACTCAAAGTGAAAATTATAAATACCGACTCTCAGAGTGGGCCGCATGGTCACGACATCAGGCACAAGCAAGCCAGCCCTTACACGAATTGTCTGACGCCTACTGTCTGTAGCCTCTTGGTTCCCTCCACCCTCCCTCGCAGCTGGGGCTATCTGGTCTGCACACCTCTACGCTACGGGCCGTCTATGGGCACTTACGCTGCTGGGGGCTTGGGAACTAGCCCGCCAGGTTCTTTGAAAGGGTAAGAGCCAGGCCTGGAGGGCTCCCTGCAAGTAAAATACACAGACTTTGTGACCCCTCTTTAGCCACCTCCCTGCCTCTCGGCTGTGTTTTGACAGGTGTGCTCACAGGGTAGAGCTGAGCTGCAGAGAGGTGAGATATTTACTTTAAAATCTCCATGTCTTGTCAAACAGAAGACACACTCGTTAAACAGCGGTACAGAAAAGGGCCGTGGAAATCATCTGTGTGTTTGGTAACTGAGTAGCCTGCAGTGCGGAGGGGTGAGCCGCCTCAGCGGCTGCGCTGACAACTCCGGGACTCCTGACCCCACATCCAGCAAGCTACCCTGGCCATGTCACTTGTAACCTGGTGCATCTCCTGGCAGGAGCCGAGTGGCTGCAGCTATCCCAGCTGCTTTTATAGTAAGACTTTGGGGTCTTCGTTACCCCAATTCTGAAACATCTCTTGCCACAGACAACAGTTAGGCGTAGGGGGTTTTTTGTTTTTGTGGTAGTTTTTGGTTTTGTGTCTCATTCTAATAAATATATGTTGGTTTTTTTTTTTAAAGATTTTATTTATTTATTTGACAGAGAGAGAGAGATAGCGAGAGCAGGAACACAAGCAGGGGGAGTGGGAGAGGGAGAAGCAGGCTTCCTGCTGAGCCGGGAGCCCGATGTGGGACTCGATCCCAGGACCCTGGGATCATGACCTGAGCCGAAGGCAAGTTGCTTAACCAACTGAGCCACCCAGGCGCCCTAAATATATGTATTTTTAATGCTAAGAAACAGGAAAGAAATCAACATTTATCAGATACCTACAACATGCTGGGTACTTTCTGCCACGAGATCCTCTCTTGCCCCTTGTCACTAGGGAGCAGGCCTGTCCCTGGGGTAAGCCCGAGAACTTACTTGTAGCCATGAAGAAGACGGGCTACTCCCGGCCCATCTGGGTCTGGAGTCCAGGTTCTTCCCACTGCAAGTGCTACCAATTATATTTACTGCTTGTTTCTGACATTCTGGAAGGAGTTTCTCCTCAGGGGCATTTCGGCTCATCTGCCATCTCAGCCAGGGGTTGCTGTGGGCAAGCAAGTTCTCTGGCGGTTGACAAAGAAAGCATACGAGAGAGGGAGAAGAGGGGTCGGCGTGTATAGTCACAATAGATCTGGAGGAGGAGGAGGCGTTTGTCTTTCAGACTTTGTAAGTTATGCTCAAGGGTACAATGATCTCCGACTTTTAAGACTTCTTATTTTTGATGTTTCAATTCTCTTGTTTTCTTCCCTTTGACTGGGAAGGCATTTTATGTTCGTATATATGGGGTTTTAATGGCATTTGACACTGTTACTCATTTCTGTTCTTCTCCCATGGTTTCCATAACACGAGATTGATCTGCTACTTCCTTTCCTTTTAAAATATTTGCGGTCTTTTCTCCATCTGCTTAACAGCCCCTCATCCCCAAAGCTCAGCTGAGGGACTTGTTAACCCTGAAGGCTTGGCCCTCAGCTTTCCTCCTTTAGAAAGTCCCAGAAAGTCCCATCTATCGATACTGACTTTATCCAGGAGACCTTGGTTAGTCCATATGGGCTAGAACAGGGGGTACAATTAAGGTAATGAAGCTGGCGTCCCGAGTGCAGGACAGGTAGAAAAGCAATTCCTGGACGCAGAGGAAGCATACTGAGTTACTTCAGGTGTGGACGCTTAGTACCTGAGGACTTCAAAAATCTCTATATCCTTCCCTGACTGCTCGCTCGCCTGCACTTTGGGCTGATAATGCCAGACGCCTGCTGAATGCCATGACTTAAGTTTTATGGCTTAAATATGTTTTCACATACACTATCTCATGTGTACGTTTCAAGATAGGCATATTACCCCATTTACAGGTCAGAACACAGACACTCAGAAACAGAAAGCAGTCTGTTTAGAATTACAGTTAAAGAACAGCACTGGACCTCAAATCCAGGTCTTCAGATTCTGAACCCAGTGGTTCTGGTGCCATTAGAATGTTCTGCTATCGACTGGGGAAGAATCACACTGCATGTCTGAAATAAAAGCCACCACTTGCTCCCCATTCACTCACATCCAGGTTCTGCCAATATTCTGTCACCTGACACCCTTCCTTCTTGTTTCCATCTCTGGACAGGCTCACTGTTAACAGCACATCCTACAGGCACTGTCCTATTAGGAGGGGACTGGCGGGGGCTGGGAGCCATGTCTATTCCCACCGTGGAGAAACAGAAGTGGGGATGTATATTTTAAACAACAGCAACCCTACTTTACACAGCTGAATACACTTTGTAGTAAGCCTCCCACGTCCACCATTTTAGGTCTGCTGCAAATACTAAGTGTTCACACCTGAAGTAACTCAGTATGCTTCCTCTGCGTCCGGGAATTGCTTTTCTACCTGTCCTGCACTCGGGACGCCAGCTTCATTACCTTAATTGTACCCCCCTGTTCTAGCCCATATGGACTAACCAAGGTCTCCTGGATACAAACATAATTTTTGAATGCTAGTGGGGACAGCTCAGATGAGGCCTATCTAGCTTTTCCTTCTAAAGAAGGTGGGGTACAGCCATCAGGCTCTGGTTACAAGACGAAGACTCGAACACAAAAGTTGGAAGTTCATATACACAGAACACTTAAGGACAGAAGAAAAGAATCAGATAGGAATAAAAAAGAGAGGGAAGTTCCAAAGGGCTTTAATATAAAGTACCTTAAACTGGTCACAGCTCAGCAGAGCCTGATATGGACTCGACAATTAACCTTCTCATTTAGCCTGTCTGCTGCCCTTACAATAAAACAGCTATATTGACCTGCCCCATCTTATTCATGACCCCTTACCAATACTCTGTGGGATGGAAAACTCTTTGTTTCCAGAAGCCAAATGGTTCACTTGAGGTGTATCATTAATTGGTTTCATGGAAAAACAGGTTTGATTCTTTAAATGTTCAACTTACTAAGTCATCACTCAAACTTAGCTCATGGAAACATTAAACGGAAATCTGCAAAGGAGTGCATGAGCAGGCACCAATAAGTGGAAAGAGAACAGAGGAGGAGAGGTGTGGGAATCTGAGGTCTAGAGGAATGCTTTAACAGGTGGTGCCATATCTCATGCGTATGCGTGCATGCACGCGTGCACACACACCCCCTCTATCTAAATTTATACATGTGTGTATATGTGTGCGTATTTGGTTTAAGAAGCAGGGCAGTTTGGGGCGCCTGGGTGGCTCACCTGGTTAAGCGACTGCCTTCGGCTCAGGTCATGATCCCGGAGTCCCGGGATGGAGTCCCGCATCGGGCTCCCTGCTCAGCACGGAGTCTGCTTCTCCCTCTGACCCTCCCCCCTCTCATGCTCTCTCTCTCAAATAAATAAATAAAATCTTTAAAAAAAAAAAAAAGGTCAGTTTAAGACTTGTACAAAAAGAGGACAGAGAGCTGCTTGTCTGAACCTCAAAGTGACCATGAGCATTCCTGACCATGGGACTGGTCCTGGCCCGGGAGGGTTAAGGCATCTTTTACCATTGTATGACCTATGGCATTTTAATGATTTAAAAATCAGTTATGACTTGGTATGAGAATAGGACCAAATGCATGATTATCAGTCAAATAAGGAAAGAGTTTGTGAGTTTATACATAGATTTATCAAGACTCTGAGATGCCCTGACTCCTGTGCCAAGGGAAAGGGATTTCGAGATGAAGGAGAAAGGCACTCTGCCCTAAAAAGTTCATCACTGGGAAAGGTCAGCAAACCAAATGTCCATGGTCCAGTGTGAGAAGTCTGGAGTAGGAGGCTGCGTTACTTGGTCTGGGGTTCAGATGAAGAGAGACTGCCTACCTACTACTTAAGCTTTGTTTTCTTTTTCTCATAATGTGCCATTTTTCTTGAGCAGATAATAAAAAGTAGATCATGAGATCAACAGCCTTGGCTTTGCTGAGGTGCATCCCTGCTGAACTGTCCTGAGGTTTCTGGCTGACTAAGCTGCAGGTCCAGGGACAACTCTATTTTGTCTCCCAAGCGGCGCATTCACCTGGCCGTGGCAGAGAAAGCCAAGGGCAAACCCCACAGTGGCTCTGAGGGGCCACTCGGGCAGGCCAGCGAGGGCCACCAGCTGAGTGTTTTACTCTTGTCTATGTTTTGCTCATGAGGGGCCAAACTCTGTGGCCAAGAAATACTGTGTTTAGACAGGCTGTGCTGGTCACTGGGACTGCAGGACCAGAGCAGGGCGACAGGCCCCTGGGCCTCATCTGAGGAGTGGGCGGTTTCTGCACCAGGGCTCAGGCTGAGGTAGGAATGCTGGAGAGCTGTGCTTCCTGAATTCGGGGGGTGAAGGACCTAGTTTTGTTTTAATTTCCAACCTGTCATGGACGAAACTGAGTAACTGAAAAAACAATTACGTGTTTGGATGTGGCAGCAATGTCCAACTGCTACACAGGTCTCTAAATGTTTCCTCTCAATGTCTGTGTCTCTTCAGTCAGGTCCGAAGCAGGTTTGCAGCCCCCAGGCAGGTCTCCTGACACACTTCCGATTGTGCTACCGCCTACCGGGCAATCTGGCCACTGGACCCTCCCTGAGGGTTGGTCCGAACAGTGACAAGTTGTCCACCACACCTTTCTGTGCGGCTGGGGCTGGCCCTGTGCAGACCCTACGTACCTCTTTTCTCCTCTACCTCCTCCCTAGCTGACCAGTCCCTCACTTTCAGTGAGGCTTACTGCTGTTAAAAAAAAAAAATGTCCTCCTGACTCTTCCTAATGCCCTCTGTCACCTCGTAGGACAAACACCCACTCTGTACCACACCCTGGTTACCTCTGCTACCGCTCCAGGAGTCCCCTTTCTCACTTCCTCTCAGAATGTTCCGGCTACCTCCTGTCTCAAGTGAAATCCGGCTTTCTCTCATGACCACCCCGAGTAGAAGCTACTCATTTTCCCAGACCTGCCTACACCCTCAAGTCTCACCTCCCATTGAAAGCTCCTACCATTTGGCCACATCAGCTCTGTCCATCCTCCGCTGTCATCTACGCAGGCTCCTGGTTCTATACTAACTGTACCTCTACACCTCCTTCAAGCCTCCTCTCCATTCTGATCTCTGTAATCATCCAGTGTCGCTTCATCAGATGAGGACAACCCATCCCGAACCTTCTCATCTCTTCGTGCTCCAGTCCCAAAATAATAACTTCTGCAATCCTGGTCTCTGACCCAATTTTCGGCTACTTGCTGAGTATCTCCACCTGCTTATCCCATAAACACCTCAAACGCAATATATTAAAACTCATTGTCTTTCCACCACTTTCTGGTCCTCTTCTTAAGTTTCTGCTCGCCACTCAGCTAGCCTAGCCAGGAATTAACATGGGATTCTGCAATCCCTCCCTCTCCCTCCCTCCCGCCTCCCACTAACTCAGTACCTCACGTTACCCTGTCTGGACTAGTTATCCCAAAGGGTTTTCCTACCCCCGGCTTTCTCCCACTTGAATTCGTCCTCCCCTCTGCCAGCAGACCCATAGCCTCACTGAGATAATGCCACATGCTAAAAATCCTCGCAAGGCTCTCCAACAGTAATAGGATATACTTTGAACACCTCACATACAAAGCTCTTCATAACCAGGCACATTCCTTCCCACCTCATCTCCCGCTACTGCCTTAACTCGTGCACCCTAAAAATGCAATTTTATGAATTATTCCCTATATTCTGAATGCACCCCATCTGTCCAGGAGCACACTGTTCTCTCAGTCCAGGACATTCCTTCCTTGTTATCTCCAGAGAAATTTCTAGTAGCACTTCAAGACCTAGCTCTGGGACATTTCTATAGAACCCCACAGAAGGGGGGTATCCTACATCTGCATCACAGGGTTTCCACACAGCAGCTGCATTAATGTGTTTGCATACCTGCCTCCCCGACCTGCCTGCAAACTCCACAGTACACCCACCCGTTTGTGGACTGCGGAGCCTCACACAGGAGTCGGTCCATCGTAGATGCTCAAGCGTTTGCTGAGTTGACTTGAGTGTACACAAGGCTTTTTCTCTTTGACAACAGAACCAAGTTTTTAACCTCTGCATGCCCTGGTGCTACATACACAGCAGGTCAGCAGGTGAGGAATGAAACA